CACTTAGAATTTTGATTGGCATTTCAAAGATGGATTGTAGTACACATTCCAAGCTTTCCAAAATGTCCAAGAACTCATCAAACAACCTCATAACTTGAGAGATTCGAATTTCACAAGTTAGCAAAAATTCACTTTTGTTCTTCATCAAAGCATGTTCATAAACTTGGCAAATTTGAACTCAGCATAGTTTGTGCTACTTTACAGGTCCTAAAACCAAATTACACTCCTTAATTTAATGCAAAACCAATGAATCAAGTTGTTATTCTAAGCCTTTGGTCATTACACAAGGAATTAAGCCTAAACTAGAAAAAGCATTATTTCCATTCTTGAAAAGCTTGCTTTATGTCAAATAGAAATCCAAGCAAGTACAAGCAAGATCTTCTTGGCACAAGTTTGTGAGAAAATTGCACTGATCAAGGCAAGGGATAGCAGCATAGTTAGAGGGCCTGTACTGACCTAGAAAGAAAAGTGGCATTTTGTAGCTTAAGTGTGAAGAAACATCCATAACTGATCACAACTCTCTCTTCAGCATACACACACAAGAAAGAAGTTGTCAAACACATTACACATAACATATCCAAGCTAACACACGAGCTTTTGACCTCCAACACACCCTCCATCTCAGAATCATCCTCAAACTGCACAAACAGGGGTGCCCCTACAGTTTGAGTGCAAACTCCCAATCCCTTCGAGCATTTTGATCAAAACTTGTTCCTCTACCTTCCCTACAACATATGCAAGCTAACCATGGCCTAAAACCTGACCTGTAATCACTCTAACAGGTTCCACCATTTTTAATTTCTCCTTTTGTAGTTGAAGTTCTGCAGCTTGATACAAGAAGGTTCAAGACAAAGTGAGCATTGAAAAAGCATCCCTGGACCTCAAGGAAGCTTTTCCAATCATTACATTGCACTGAAAGTCTCTCATTCTCCACATAGAAGTTCAACTGCACAGGTAAAACTTTGAACTCGTATCTCTCTTATCATGCATCTTTAGTCTTAAGTTTGTGAAGAAACAAGGTCCTACTCATAGCCCTGAACATGTACATATCTTTACATTTCATTTCTTTTGCCTGAGTAGAGAGAATTTGGAGCTTGAAAATGGTAGAAAAATTAGGTCAGAAAAGAGGGGGAGAGAAATTCTCCCTCATCTTAGAGAGATAGGTCAAGTTCTTTATATGGTTAGAACCGTCTCTTCATGCTGAACATTTCTTGTGTTATGAGTTTTTGCTAAAAAGCCAGGAATCAAGAGTTAGAAGGAACTGAACATGGCGCGCGTTTTTTCAAATATCTGTGCTGGAGGTTGAAGAAGGAGTGGAGTGGGCTGGGCCTGTGCTATTTTGCTTTTCACACCATCTTTTTTGGTTTACACCCCCCTGAGCCCATTTGCTCATTTTTTAACATTTTTGACTTTTTCTTTTTTGGCTGACTTTGTTTATTTTTTCTCATGACATTAGAAAATTAAAAATATTTTTTTTATCATTTTTTGCATTTATTGCATATTTATTTGTTTATTTTCTTTATTTGTACATAAATACATATATATGATTATTAGAATAAAAATGTAAAAATAATGTAAATACACTTTTTATTTTCATTTACTTTCTGAAAATATTTCACACAAAAAATACCTTTTTTTATTTTATTTATTAAAATATTAAATAAATGTTTATTTTGTATATAATACATATTTAGGGTTTAATACATATATATATGTAATTATTAATATATTTAAGACAAAAATATGAAAATACTTGATTTTTCGCTTTTATTAATATTTGATATAAAAATACCTTTTTTCATAATATACTTCATTTTATTTTATTTTTATGAATAATAAATAGATAATAATACATTTTCTTTCAAATTAGGGTTTTTACCCTAAGTTCAAAATACTCAAAAAATAATACATTTCTTATTTTCTTTTTCCTTTTACATAAATAATATTTTCCCATACACATAAAAACTTTCTTTTTGCATTTCACATATTTATTTAATTTACATTTAATTATGCATTGCAAATATCCAATTGATGTAATAATTTAGATTTAAATTCTTGTCAATATCCCCATTTGAACATTTGTACCCCCCTTCCCATATTTGGTTTTGTAATAGCTTAGTAATTTTAATTTCGCACTTTATTGCTTTCTAATGATAACATGTTAGAATTAGGGTTTGTATGCGAAAAACGATAAAAAATAGTTTGACCTAATACAAGATAAACAAGCATGAAAATGGACACACAAATCACACTTGCATTGTTGCCTTCAAATAAATGGGCCATATTGTATGTTGAACTTCTTTGGGCCAAGCAAACAGTTTGAATGATCATAGTCCCTCGATAAAACTTTTCAAAACAAACAAAAACAAATGATCAAGTCCCTTAAAGAAATTGCCCAAAGACATTTAACGTCGTTACAATTATGGTCTAAACGATGACCCGCGCCTGTCCCTTTCACATCCTAACACAAGGTTGCCCACCAAATACAATGGTGGAGCAAACTTGTTAAAAGGGTTAAAAGTATAGCAATGACCTTTTGAGAAATTTAGGAGTAGATAACCTCTTAGTTACTTGAATCAACTTGCAAAACAAAACACTTGCCTAATTTCAAAATCACATATCACTACACTTTCAAAACAACTTTCAAAAACAAATGAAAACTTTTTCAAAAGACATACATCTTTGTATACATCCCCACATGGATCATTACAAAGGTTGCCACCACATTGGCCTCTTTTCAAAAACATTTTCAAAACCCACACACTTAAGCACCATTTAAAACAATTGAAAACAAAAGGCAAGTGATCTAAGCAAGTAACTAAGAGCCCATGGATAACCATGGATAGAAAGGGTGTTAATACCTTCTCTTTCTATAATCTACTCCCCGAACCCAAGAAAACATCTCAAAAGGTTTTTGCTGTGCTTTTTAACCTTTCCTTAGGATAAAATAAAAAGTCGGTGGCGACTCTTGCTAACCGCAACATTTGCGAATACAAACGCAAAACACTAGTCAGTTCTCCCACCGTATCACAATGGCCATATTGACTTCCAGGCCCCAGTCGAAGTTAGCAGAGATCCAGAATCGAAGGCTGCATCTCATGCTTCAAGCTAAGCCCAAATCGAAAGGCGCGTCCTCACTACTTTCCAGGCCAAATTGAAGGGAGTCAGAGAAGCAGAATCGAAGGGTCCTGCTGCCCAATTCAAAGCATTCATTTTTCTTTCTTTTATTTTTGTTTTGTCTTTATATTTTCTTGTTATTCAATATGGTTGTAATAGTGTAGGATTTATTTTCTGCATTTTTATTGCTTTTTGTACAAATGCTAGTAATTAGGATGTATGACAAGATAAAACCAACAAGTAGACAACCTAAAATTCAAAGACAAAATGAATGCAAATCAAACACATTATTCACACACATGCACCCTTAGGGTAATCTCACTTGTTGCCTCGGAAAAATAGTCATGTCTCTCGAACATGGGCGTTTTAGCAAAGACCCTTGATAAAAGATTGTAGTCCCTCGATAACCCTCAATGTTACCTTCGGTAAACGATCTAGTCCCTAAAAGATATTGCTAAAACTTCCCATAGGTTGCCCTCTATGACTAAACAAACGTCCCATGTCTGTCCCTTCACATCTAATGATGAGGCTTCTTACCAAATCAATGGTAAGATAGCAACATCTAAAGGATAAGGAAAAGAACATTAGAGATTTTTGAGTAGGTAGGATGCTCCTAGTTGCTCGCTTGCTCACAACAAAAACACTTTATACACCAACGCTTTCGTTTGGAACATTTTCAAAAGACAAAAACTTTTTGTATCTGTTCTTATAGAAACAAGAACCATTACAAAAACACTTTTCAAAATCACTTTCAAAAACACACTCCACAAACACCTCTTTGAACTATTTTCAAAAACAACACTTTGTACACGTTCTTATAGAAACGAGAACCATTACAAAGACGTTTTCAAAATACTTTCAAAACCCACACCGCAAGCACATTTTCAAACAAAAGCAAGTGATCTTGCAAACAACTAAGAGCCCGTAGATAACTATGGATGAAAAGGGTGCTAACACCTTCCCTTTTCATAACCTACCCCCCGAACCCAAGAAAATAATCTCAAAGTTCTTTCCTGTTCTTTTCACCCTTTCCTTATTGGATAAAAGAAAAGTCGTTGGTGACTCTTGCTATCCGCAACAATTGCGATCAAACGCAAAATACACCAAATCAGTTCTCCCACCGTATTACATAAATCAACAATTAACTCTTGATTAAGGATCTTAAATCATTAAGAAGATGAGGACAATGAAACTTGGTCATACTTGTTCTTAGTTCGTTTGTAGTGATTGATGCCCATGTTCTTGAGCACCATGTAAGATGCTTACGTTCTGCTCCATCTTATCAGCGAGGTTGCAATGTTTCACTTATCACATTCTTTAAGAACAAGATAGTTCCATCATCTATCTATATGCTCGATGTATATAAAACACATGTTAAATGTCTTTTGATCCTATGTTTACTTCCAAGAATTTTAATTGAATATGTGATTATTTCAAATGTTTAGAGTGATGTAGGTTGAATGGTGAAATTTATGTGTTTACCATACTTTAATATACATATGTTTATTTGAGAAACATAATTCACACATACATACATTATTTTATGGCATGTGCATTAATCATACTACATAACCAAAGAAGAAAAGTTTTTCATAGGTTAGTTAGAAATCTATATAGGTTTAGTCATTGAGTCCATCATCAATTCGTAAAAGTGAAGAGTTTTTAAAAGGGGTCAAAATTCCTTAAGTATGTATCAGTTTAAAATTAGCATAGGTCAGCACATAAAACAATTTCTTTTACCAGTCTCTTTTAATACTTCAATATAGGTCGGTACATGTTACGAATATGTCGGCACATTCGCAAGTTTAGGCCGACACGTGTCGGTCAAAAAGATTTAAAAATCATCCTCTTCACCTTCTACACTCTTCTATTCTCTTTGTACTCTCAAACCCAAACGAAAACCTTTCATCAAACATTCAAAATTCCATTCAAACTCTCATCTTTTCCAAAATCTTTCATCAATTCACTCCACAAATTCAAAGTTGTATTCACTCTCATCATTATTCCCACTTAATTGTCATTCAAGCTCTACAACATTCAAGGCATACCCAAAAGTTGCAAGTTTGCAAATGGCTCCTAAATTTGCTAGAGGAAAGGGAGTTGGTCGAAGTAAGGGACGAGTTGGGTCCTCATCTAGTTCATACAAAAGTATATTTGATCTGGTTGATAAATATAACATGGATTTCTTTGATGAAAAGTTCCGCGGGAGAATTATGGCAAAGCAACATTATTACAAAAGAATGACGGCTGAAGATCTTCACATCCCTGAAGTTATCAGCAGGATAGATGAGCAAGGCCAAGGTCTTACCTACATTCTTCAACTAACTCAACAATACAATGAAGATTTGGTTCAAATCTTTTATGCCGGGCTAGAAAAGAAGAATTTTGCTGAGTTTTCCTTCAGAATTAGTGGTATGCAATACACTTTCACTAATGACAATTGGAAATCTCTCTTTGGTTTCACAATTGGAAAAGAACCAAAGGTTAAGGACTAAAGTGTTCACTCTAATTTCAAGTGGAGGATGCATTCAAATGAACAACTGAAGGCTCTGCGTGATGACAACAATAATGAAAATATTACTATGGGCTACTCAAAATGTTGCCCAGAATTCTACATTGGATTGTCAATCACATTTTGCAGCCAAAGGGTGGAGGTTTTTCAAGGGTTGATAATTGTTGAGATACATCTTGTGTATGTTCTCCTCAATAAAGTAAAAATCAATTGGCCATACTAATTTGTTGGCCGCATGTTCACTATCAAGAAGTGTAACAAAGGAAATGCTCTTAGCTACCCTTCCATGATAGCTAAAATTCTCAATTTCTTCAACATTGGGTTTTCAAACCTTCTAATGTCCTATCCAAGTGTTGGATTGGAATTCTCCAAGAGAACCATGCACAATATGAGATATCATTGGGATGCTACAAAATGACAACACTACTTAGACATGGTTATAACAAGGCGGAGAATTTATAATTTTGATGATCCTGGTGAATATTATGATGTTACCGAAGCTGAAGGAAATGATGATGGTCCTGAGGATATCAGTGGTGGACAACATGGAGACATTCCCATGGATGATGTGAATCATGAAGAAGATGAAGCTTGGTTACATGCAACGGCTAATCAACAACATGACTATGAGCAACATTGGAATGATAATTGGCAACAATAATCTTGGACTGCATAGGGAGAAAACTATCAAGGCTATGCGGGAGGTTCCTATGATTATGCTGATGGTTCATACCAAGACGGGTATGGATATGATACTGAAAATAACTCTGAGATAATGACTATTCTTCAAAATATGGAGCTCCAACAAAATCAACATTAATAAGAGGAAGTGAAATGGCGTGAGATGAAGTACAATGACACACAAAATTTCAGAACACTCAAAATGAGCAATATAGGCAAGTAAATGCAAGATTGGATACTCAAAACTCAAACTTTAAAGCTTTTTCTTCGACCGCTACTGCATAATTTCTATCTCTCCATGAAAGCATTCACACCTCAAATGAGGCTATCCAAGGAAAAATCGACCATCTTCAAACATCAATCATCCAGCAAAGTGATGAGGCAACTGTGTTTTATGAGGAGATGCGTAGAAGTGGAAGGACTTATCAAAGGCGCCATGGTGGAAATGATGGAAATTGATATTTTGTTATTTGCGTATCTCATTCTCTTTCATGCATTGCATCTTAAGAACATTTTGCTGTTTTGTTTTATGTAACTGAATTTTCGTTGTATGTTTGAATAATGTGTGCAACTCTTGCGTACTTTTGTTTTATGAATATCTTTATTCTCTATCTATTTTGCTAATTAAGTAGTGTTATCATATGTACTGTGATGTATGTGTTTCTTTAACACTCAATCAATGCAAATATACCTCTGAAATGTTATAAAAATTTGTTGGGATTTAAGGGATACAATACTTCTAACAGTGTACCTTTTTGATGTTGTCAAAGAGGGAGAACACATATGCAAAGATAAAGAAGAAAAGCATATGTGCAGGGGGAGCTTTGTTGAAGCGCATCTTCGCATTTTTGCCATCATCAAAAAGGGGGAGTTTGTGAGAGAAACTTGGTCCCTTAAGTGTTTTGAGTGATGTCAAAAATACGAGAATATTGCATTCCCTTTATTGATCATCATCCTTGATTATAATATGGTACCTTAATCATTTGAAAGTACTAGGTTGGTTAGGAATCATTCAAAGTCACCTAAAAAATTGAGTAAAGCCATTAAAAACATGTTTGTACTGAAATTGTCGTTGCATGTGTCGACACATCCGCTTTTCAGGTCGACACATACAATTCATTTTTAAAGCTTGTAGCCTCTGTAAATTTCCAGTCGACACAAGCATCATAACATACTGAAGTCTTTCTAAAATTGCAGAAATTCTTATTTCATGTGTCGACACATCCATTTTTTAGGTTGACGCATTTGCTATTGTTTTAAAGGCAGTAGCTTCTGTAACTTTTCGGTCGACACATAGTCAGTTATAGGTCGATACATTCTGTTCAAAAGTCACGTATATGTCGACACATACAATTCTTGAGTCGACACATACTGTTTTTCTTGGTCAGTTTTTTAATTTCTTTTATTCCAAATTTATCCCTCCTTGCCCTAAATGCTTCAAAACTATAAATATCATTTCATGCATCATTCAATGTTGTTGAAAACCATAAAATTAGCCTACTTCTCTCTTCATCTTCTTCCTCTAATCTATGCATACACACTGATATTACATTGTAACGATGTTCCGTTGGAGTGCCATCTAAATGAGGATTACTAGTGTACAATTATGTATTAGGTGGAGTTTTATAGGGGTTTTCATCCAGGAAAAACCTAGGTTTTGTCCTTCAAGATCATTGGTTGATTTGAGGGGTTTTGTGCAAAATGTTCGAGAGGTAATTTCAGTAAAGTGAACAACCTTGGAATGCTTAAAATCTTTGCAAGGAACGTTGGAGTGTTTGAAATCGTTGCAAGGAAGTAACTTGGAGTATCAGATTGAATCGAAGTTTTATGTTAGAATTGTTTGAGATTGACGGTGCATGAAAGCTTTGGAGATAAAGAATGCAAAGGAGTAGAAAGATCCAGATAGTCATTTCTCATCAATTGTGTTTTGGTCTCTCTCAAGATCAAAAGAGGAGAAGGGGTTGAATCAACAACAAACTTAGGGTCTATAGAGTTGCTCTTGAATACTTCTCTTGTATCAACAATTTTGCATAGTAAAAATTATCTTAATTCTATTGGAATTAGGCGCAGAAGTATCCACACGCGAGGATGACATTGAGAAACTGTGAAGACAAATTCCTTATATCGCTTTTATTTTTTCTATTACTTGATTTTATTTTCATTGATCGATCTATCAAATATCATTGAGTTATAATTTGAATTGTAAGAATTTTCCTAATTGATTTTTGTTTTTAATTCAAATGTTGATATAGTTTATAATCACGTTTGATTATAAGTGGTTTTGTGTATCAACACAACCAAAGGAAAAATTCTGAAAGTTCACTTGCACGCCAAGTGTTTGATAAATTGACTAAACTAGTTATTTTGATTTTATCCTTGGAAATAGCCTTTGTAAGTGAAATTGATTAATTCATAAATAAGTTGCAAAGTGATTCAAGGTTATTAATTCGCTATCGTTCTCATTCCATATTAATTTTGATTTACGTTTTGCATATCCGAGTTTCTCGATAACGTTCGTAAAGACGACAATTTACTTTTGCGTCGTACTTTGATAAAACTTTTTCAAAACCAAATTTTATTTGGATATTTTAAAAAGGGGTACCTATTCACCCCCCTCCAGATACCGTTGCCATAGTCTAACACTATGTCACACAACACACCCCCTTAGTTTGTGATTCAGAAGGAAGCGAGTATGGTGTATAAGTTGTACAAAATACTCTATGGCCGTAAACTGGAACCTAGGGCATGGAACAAGAAGATCGACTCATACTATGTCGATGACTTGCTGGTTACTAGAAATATCTTGGAAAACTTTTCGAAGTTCAAAGAGCTGATGATGAGGGAATCTGAAATATCGGATCTAGGAAAATTGTCTTATTTCCTAGGCATGGAATTTCAAATTTCAAAGCAAGGAATAATGCTACATCAAAGGAAGTATTTCAAAGAGATACTCAAGAGATTCAGGATGGATGACTCGACTCCAACACCTTTACACGTCGAACCTAATTTGAAGTTGGAAAAGCATGGAGAGGAAGACAAAGTCGATGTAACCTTATTTAAACAAATAGTTGGATCTATGAGATATGTGTGCAATAGTCGATCTGATATAGGTTTCGCAGTTAGGTTAGTGAGCAGATACATGAGTGAACCAAGGGTGTCACACGTGAAGTCTGCAAGAAGAATCCTGAGATACTTGAAGGGATCAATAAACTATGGAATTCTATTTCGACAAGATTCTAAAAGCAGAGAAGCTACGATTACTTTCAATTTAGATGTTGATTGGTGTGGAGATAAGGAAGACTGAAGAAGCATAACTGGTTATTTCTTTCAAGTCTTTGGTGCTCTAATCTCATGGTGATCTGAAAATCAACTTGTGGTGACATTGTTATCGTGTGAGGCTGAATATATAGCAGGATCCGATGTTGCGTGTCAAGCAATTTGGATCAGATCTGTGCTTGAAGAAATAGAAGTCGAAGTGAAGAAACACCTAGTGCTATAGATTGACCCATTTTAGATTTTTTGATGAGTTACATGGATATTTGAGAATTGTAGATGAGTTGTTAAAAATATTGAAAAGTGTGAAATAATATAAAAAATTACGTGGATCCCATTTAAAGAATCAAAATGAGTATGATGAATGTGGGTGCTCTTATTAACAATCTGTAGAGGATTTTAACTTCGGAAATCAAAACACATTCGGTTTAATTAAGATATCAACTTTTTAATACACATTTTAGTTTAAATTTTGACCAATTGTCTAGTTGTCAAGTCTGAAGAGTAGAAGTTAAAAAAAATTTCACAAAATTTCACAGAAAGACCGATTCGACTTACATATGTCTTTTAAGAGATTAACCTGGAACATTTTTAAATAAGAATTTAAAACAAAATATTAAATTAAATTAAATGATTTTGTGACAAATTATACCTTATTCATTTAACCTTATTATTATTATTATTCATTCATTCAACTTCATTACTGTCATTTATTATTATTATTATTATTATTATTTATTCAACTTCATTACTTTCATTATTTCTGTACACTGGATTTACGCAGATACAAAGCTTCAATTGTTTCCATTTCAATAGCCAAGGCGTTTGTAAATATAAAGAGATAAATTCTTTGTTTAACATGTTAAAGAAAACGTTTATTTATTTTAGACAAAATGAAAGAAATAGACTTTGTTTCATTTTATTCACATAAAGTTTAATTTTCAATTTTTATAATTAATTGTTGTTTTTAATTAAAATTTTCACTTTTTTTTGCAACTCTCGTATTTTATTAATTTAATAAATAAATTATAATAAACAAATTATATATTTAACAAATTATTTACAAAAAAATTTGATGAGAATAATTTTTTTAAAAATAAAAGCTCTATTGCCAATTTCTTAAATCTTCACTATTTCTATTCTTTCTCTCTTCTCACACTCTTTCTCATATCTTTCTCTCTTTTTTTACTTCTCCTCACATCCAAGCAAGCATACCTTAAATAATTGTGCAACCACACGCAACTCTTTGGAATTTAGCCATAAATAAATTAATAGTCTTTTGTATTCTAGTGCTATCTCAATTCAACATGGCTTCTTCTTCTACCACCACCAAAGTGTCACTAAAGCTTCTCATCGACACAAAAAACAACAAAGTTCTCTTTGCTGAAGCTTCAAAATCTGTCATAGATTTTCTCTTCAACTTGCTATGCTTACCTATTGGTACCATAGTTAAGCTCCTAAGCACAGATGGCATGGTTGGTAGCTTAGGAAATCTGTATCAGAGTGTGGAGACACTCAACCAGAGTTACATGCTACCAGACCAATCTAAGGAGGTTCTCTTAAACCCAAAAGCTCAATGCTCCTCAACTGAAATCTCTGGCTTCATTACCCAGAATGATTACAAAGACGATACTGAAGAAGGAATTAAGTTATACATGTGCCCACATAGATGTCGTCATGAGGTAACATATGATCCTCTTGTGGTTGGTACATGTGGCCATTATTATATGAACAAAGAAGTAAGTTTTATCGGAAAGAAGATGGTTGCTGAAACGAAAGCTTTTTCCAATATCAAGAGTGGTTTTGTGAAGGATGTTGTAACTTTTATGGTGATGGATGATTTGGTGATTCAACCAATGTCAACAATATCAAGCATCACACTGTTGAACAAGTTCAATATCAAAGAAATAGGTACCTTGCAAGAAAAGAATGTTGAAATGGGAATGGACGAGGTAAAATCAAAATAAGCAAACTCAAAACATGTGTACAATTTTCTGAATTCTTGTATTTATAGACTTGCATGTTTATTTTTGTAACAGGGTATCAAGTTGCTAAAGGCTTCTCTGCAATCCAAAATGGTCTTGACAAGTGTTTTCCTCGAGAAAGAATTAGATTTACATGGAATAGTGTGACGAGTTTTAAGTATCTTCAAAGTGTTAAGAATGAACAATGATTTGAGGGGTAGTATTTGTTATGTTTTTCCTAGTACTTAATAACTTGCATGCAATATTTTCTACGTGATCTGAATGATAAGTCTATGAA